AAGTACCAGTAGCGAGAACACTCAGCATAATATGGAGAAAGAGCCTGGATACAGGGGAGATACCAGCAGCACTTAAATCTGCAGATATAGCTCCGTTGCACAGGGGGGGGAGTAAAGCCTTGGAAAAAAATTATAGGCCAGTTGCACTAACCTCACACATAATAAAAGTGTTTGAAAGAGTGATTAGGAATCAAATTTCTAGTTTTATGGAAAACAATGAATTGCACAACCCAGGACAACATGGATTTAGAGCGGGAAGATCCTGTCTGTCACAGTTACTCAACCACTATGACAAAATCACAGAAGCCCTAGAAGAAAAGCAAAATGCAGATGTTGTATACACAGACTTTGCAAAGGCGTTCGACAAATGTGACCATGGGGTGATAGCTCACAAAATGAGGTCAATGGGAATAACTGGAAAAGTAGGACGCTGGATACTCAATTTCCTGTCGAACAGAACACAAAAAGTAACAGTCAATCAGATAAAATCGAGTCCAAGCGATGTTAAAAGATCTGTACCTCAAGGTACAGTCCTTGCACCGCTACTGTTCCTTATTCTCATATCTGATATAGACAAAAATACATGTCACAGCTTCATGTCGTCCTTTGCAGATGACACAAAAATCAGCATGAAAATTACCTCTGCTGAAGACATTGAAAAACTACAAGCAGATGTCAACAAAGTTTTCGATTGGGCAGAAGAAAATAACATGTTTAACAGTGATAAATTTCAGGTACTCAGGTACGGCAAAAATGAGGATCTGAAACATTATACAGGGTACAAAACACAATCGAATCTGCCCATAGTAGGAAAACAGCATGTCAAGGATTTGGGAATAATGAAGTCTGACGACCTAACGTTTAGGGAGCATAACCAAGCAAATATTGTGTCAGCCAGAAAAATGATCAAAAGGATTATGAGAACCTTCAAGTCCAGAGATCCCATCACAATGGTTGTACTCTTCAAGTCACTTGTGTTGTCCCGTCTTGAGTACTGCTCGGTACTCACTTCCCCCTTCAGAGCAGGAGAGATTGCTGAAATTGAGGGAATACAGAGAACATATACGGCACGCATAGACGAGATAAAGCACCTAAATTATTGGGATCGTCTCAAAGCTCTCCAAATGTACTCACTAGAAAGGAGACGAGAGAGATACCAAATAATATACACATGGAAAATACTGGAGGGACAGGTCCCAAATCTGCACAGTAAAATAACAACGTACTGGAGTGAACGACATGGAAGAAAATGCAGAATAGAACCAGTGAAGAGCAGAGGTGCCATGGGCACAATCAGAGAACACTGCATGAACATCAGAGGTCCACGGTTGTTCAACGTCTTACCAGCAAGCATCAGAAATATTACAGGAACAACCGTGGACATCTTCAAGAGGAAACTAGATTGTTTCCTTCAAGGAGTGCCAGACCAACTGGGCTGTGGTGGGTATGTGGGCCTGCGGGCCGCTCCAAGCAACAGCCTGGTGGACCAAACTCTCACAAGTCAAGTCTGGCCTCGGGCCAGGCTTGGGGAGTAGAAGAACTCCCAGAACCCCATCAACCAGGTATCAACCAGGTACATCTGTCGGGCTGATTGGTGAAAGAAGAAGAGAGTTTGGATAGCTGCCTGAGAGATATGTGTTGACATGTGTCTGAGTCTGTGGGATTTTACTGGCAAGGTTAGCACCAACCGATGAAAAGACTAGTTCAATAGGCCACATTTAATTTTAAATTCATCCCTCCTATTCATAACTGGGGAGCCATATTCGGGGAAATATGTTTAATTGGCGGTTTCCTGTTTCATCGTCAATTAGGGGGATTAATCAGGGAGTGAATCAGGTGGTGGCAGTGGAATGTTCTAGAGTTCTCTAGAGTTTGCTGGTAGCTGATCTGAAACAATGCCTTGTTGGTGTAGTACCTAGGTAATTAAATACCTAGGTGACAAGGTGTTGAACTAGAGAGGTTGCAGTAATAACTCTGGGGGAACTCTAGAATAATTAACAAAGGGCAGGTTAATGGACAGAAGTGAGCCGTTTCCCACGTCCCCGTTACAAAACAATGGCACTGTGCTGTGGCTAGCGCTGTAAACATCTTGAACAGCATTGTGTTCACTGATATCTAAACATTGTACACAGTCTTTATCACAGTCAGGCTCTTCTGTAATACTATCATCACTAAATAATAGCAATTACGTATGTATTTTGCCAATTTTAGGCGATGCTGTGGTCACAAGCTGAACAGCAGTGCTGTTAGCTCATGCTGTGTGTGTTAGCTTTGGTTGCTCACTCGGTACTACGGCTTTTACACCAGGGTATGTTACCCACAATTTAATTTTTTAAATGGCATCTGTTTACTAGAGCCCTGAGGATACCGATGTGAACTTTTAAATCTTTCACAGTACTTTAAAATGTATATATATATACACGAAGTGTACTGTGCAGACAGTTAGACCAAAATTGTATATACTGTAACCCCGCGATTATCCGGGATTCAAACATCCGGAAAACGCCCTCATACGGCCAAAATCGTGATCGGATAAAGTTATCACAATATCCAGCCAAAATGGCCACAGGAACCGGATAAAAGCTGGTTTGGCCGGATGAATATTCGGCCATACCGTATTAATCCAGTCTGTGGCTCTAGACACATGGTGGAGGAAGGGGTGGGGTGGGTGGGTGGTGTCGGGAGGGTGGGAGGGGTGCGTCGGAAGGGACCACCTAGGTACAGGAATTACCATTAATTTTAGAACACTTAATCATAGCCAAAAACAAATGAAATAAGTACTAGTAATTATGTAATAACAAATAAATAAGTTTCCTAAAATTAATGTGTATAGGCTGAAGTTTCCTTAAAAAATATTGTGAGTTTTTTCCTCCTGGCGGCCTACGTAACGCGCTATAGCTGCCCCACCCCAAGTGGACCTGTCCAACACTGGTCAAACCATGTGCATCCGTCCCTCGTGTTATACACAGTGCTGCGCCATTAGTGAAATATTTTTTTAAATAACTTTTTTATTTTCATAGTAACTTTGAACATTTTTGGCCAAGACTATGTCTGGTAGCAGCATCAATCATTCTGGAGGTGTTAAGAGGAAGAAGGTTGTCCTAGCAATTAAAGACAAGTTATGTGTTGTTCAACCAGTGAGGCGTCACAGGCAGCCAAATGCCTTTAACAAGTGAGGCGCCACAGGCAAGCCAAGCGCCTTTAACAAGTGATGCGCAAGCAAGCAAGCGCCTTCAACAAGTGAGGCGTCGCAAGCAAGCCAAATGCCTTCAACAAGTGAGGCTTCACAGGCAAGCCAAGCGCCTTCAACAAGTGAGGCTTCACAGGCAACCCAAATGCCTTCAACCAGTGAGGCTTCAGCAGCTGGCAGTCAAAACTAACTTTGCTTAATGAACTGTACAGTAATTTTAAGTGTTAATTTTAGTGTTGTGTTAGTATAAGTTACGTAAATTGTTAAGAATTCTTAACTTCAAGATGTGTGGCATCAATCAAGAAGACGAACAACAACAAGGTAAGTTGAGGTTTCTAGTTGAATATTTAATAATTATATGTGGCAAGGCAATTCAAATTATGTTGTTTGTAGTATAAAAGTAATTGGAAATTGTCACTTTTGGACTCGTAGGTGAAAAAGTACCATTATCCGAAAAATGTGATAATCCGGCTGGGGGTCCTTCCCATATAGTCCGGATGATCGAGTGGAGACAGTATATACAGTGGAAACTCGAGTGAAGAGCGGCTCCAGTTACGAGCATTTCAAGTAATGAGCAAGCCACTCGCAGAAAATGTCTCGACTGACGAGCTTTCGCTCGATTAACGAGCGTTCCCGCTGGTTCTCGAACACCACCGACGACGGTTTTGTTGTTGTTTTGCAAGATGAGTTTTCCACATGACAAGCTCGGTGCCTGAACGGATTAAACTCGTTAATCGAGGCGCCACCGTATATACAAATTTTGGTCTCTGCTAAAGGGTTAAACAATTCCTGCGCCATCGCCAACCCTCCCACCCTACCAAGAAGCGGCCCTCCTCAATTGCCACCCACCCCTTGTTAGGGTTAATGTGAGAATCGTGTCAATCCGTCTGGTACACAAGGAGTGACATGTGCCACTCACCCAGCGGAACAACTTTCTACATATCTACACTGATAAATGTAGACACCCACATGCTGATACACACATGATATTCAAAGACCCACCACACCCACACCCACTCCTGACACTCCCCACACCCATTCCAGACACCCCTACACCCACTCCAGCCTCCCTGCTTGCCTGAAGGGTCCCTCTTTCCTTTCCTTTTTGCCTCCCTTCCTCCTTGCCTTGCCTGTCTCCCTCCCTCACCAGTTTGCTGAGAAATTTCAATAATTTCACAAGTGAAATTTCCTAAATAATTGTGATGGGCTGCAAGTTATGGTAAGTGGTGTTCTACAAGTGTTAGGCAGGGTGATTCCCTTGTTTCTCAGTGGTAAATGTTCACATTTTACATTCAGCAAGTTGACCCCTAGTTTTGGAGTTTTCTTTAAGGCTTCAAATGTTGACTTCAACACCAGCATATACGGTAAACTCTGCCTATTTGTATCCCGACAAACCTCCGGTCATCAGGATTCTATGGACAGTCCTCCAGATATGGACATAAAATTATCCAGATGCAATTTTGTCTGAATGAGCCCTGATATCTAGTTAGCAGAATCTGAATAATCGAGCTTATACAGCATGTTGTTCTTCCCATATGAAATGCTATTAAATTTTACATTATTGTTTGTACAACTATAAACTTTGCATTGCCTATAGTACAAGTACAGTACTATAGTAAAGCAAATAAACTCTGCTGCTAGGGAGACATCAATGTTTGGTTGCATTAGGATAAGGAAATCAAATCTTCCAGAAAATGTGTCTCCTCACTGAACAGTATATTGAAATAACATATGGCAATGAAGTCTTGTGAGAAATTTCAGAATTAAAACTTCAATAAAAAAAAAAAAAGTTATTTAAGGATTTGCTTACCTGTCTTGGTACTAATATGCAAGTACAGTACAGGCCAGGACAGATATTAACAGACTTGAATACTTCTGAACTCTCAACATGTCTTGTCTCCCCAACAATGGCTGAAGTTCTGCCTTTGTCTACAGGTCACCGTAGTCTACAAGCCACCATGCTCTACAGGCCACCGTGATCCACAGGCCGCAGTGATCAACAGCCGCCCACAGTCCACAAGCTTCTGTGTGAAGGGGTAGGGATATCTGAGTACACAGTGTGATAAACAATTTTCAAATTTAAGGGTAAGTAGATTCTTTAACCATAATTAACTGTTAAATATCAAGTTATGTGTTTATGGAAAGTCTATCTGTTTAAACCTAATATAATAATACACAGTAGATGATGATGCAACACTCCCTGTGGGTGTTGTCAGCTAACTGCTACATCACCCATGAGGCAATTTATTTTTTATTTATATATATATATACAAGAAGATACATAAGATTGTAAGAGTACATAACTTTTTATTTTATTTTATTTATACACACAAACATTTATACATTTTAGTAAAACTACTAGTATGCATACTGTTTCATCAAGGTCCTTAATCTTAATTTTCCCTGGAATACGACCCACTAAATCATTTAAAAACCAGGTAACCGTTCACTGCTGGGTGAACAGAGGCATACAGTTAAGGACTAGCAACTAGTCAATCTTCCCCGGACAGAATACGAACCCAGGCCAAATTGCTTGCGAAATGTGAGGCGAGTGTCTTACCACCACGCCACAGCAACATTGGTGTTATTAAATTCTTGGAAAGCCACTACCTTACGTGCATGGCATTTTGGGCAGGTCCTTAATCTAGCAGCTAAGGTAAGGTAAAGAGGTACAATGTAGCAAAATTTCTGTTTAATATAAAAACTACAATATAAATTAATGGAGATTACACTGGTGAAGATGCATGTTTTAAGTTCTACTAATATTGGGGAAGTGGGTAGCACAAGATACAGTGTGAGTTGCACAAGATTGAAAACTATGAGGATAAAATTATGTACTCTTTGGTTTTACTTTTGAATAAGGCATAGGTTGAGCAATTTTTTAATTCATTAGAAAGTGAGTTCCATAGATATGGTCCTTTTATTTGCATGGTGTATTTGCAATTTAGTTCGACTCTGGGGATATCAAAGAGATATTTATTTCTGGTGTGGTTCTCATGTGTTCTATTACATCTACCAAGGAAGAGTTTCCGATCTGGATTAGCATTTAGGAACATGGTTTTGTACATGTAAATAGCACAAGAGAATATGTGAAGTGAGTGTAAGTTAAGCATGTTTAGGGATTTATTCAGGGGGCTGTGTGATTTTCTGAAAACAGAGTTTGTTATAGTTCTGATAGTAGATTTTGCTGGGTGATGATGGGCTTGAGGTTATTTGCAGTGGTTGAACCCCATGCACAAATACTGTATGAAAGGTAAGAATAGATTAGCAAGAAATATAATGAGCAGAGCAGAGTGGGAGAACATAATATCTGATTTTAGAGAGTATACCCAGTTTTTGAGACTTTTTTGACTGTGTTGTATGTGGGTGCTGAAGATTAATCTCTTGTCTATGTATAGGCCAAGGAACTTTCCATCATTTGTATTGCTAATGTTAACTTCAGCACCCACATTCAACACATAACTAAGAAAGTCTCTAAGACAGTTGGTATACTCTCCAAAATCAGATATTATGTTCCTAACTCTGCTCTCCTCTCACTATATTATGCACTAATCTGCCCCTATCTTAATTATGGTATCTGTGCATGGGGGGTCTACCACTGCAAACCACCTTAAGCCCATCATCACACAGCAAAAATCTGCTATCAGAATAATAACTAACTCTGCTTTCAGACAACACTCAGCTCCCTTGTTTAAATCCCTAAACTTGCTAAATATTAACTCCCTCCACACATTCTCTTGTGTCAACTACATTTACAAAACCCTGTTCTTAAATGCAAACCATGCTCTGAAACTCTCCCTGGACAGATGTAATAGGACCCATTATCACCACACCAGAAATAAATATCTCTTTGATATCCCCAGGGTCAAACTTAATCTGTGTAAAAACTCTATGCAAATTAAGGGACCTAGTCTATGGAACTCACTCCCTAGTGAATTGAAAAACTGTAAAACTTTTGCCTTATTTAAAAGCAAAACCAAAAAGTACCTAATTTCATCTTCTTAGTTTCCTACACCGAGCTTTAAATTTGCTCTGTACCTAGTGTTACCCAATCTCCTAATTTTTATGTAGTATCAAACAACCTTATCATTGTGTTCATTGTTGTCTTCTTTTATGTGCTAGCCATATGCTGTATTGTGACTACCAATTTTTGTCAACTACCATTCAAGCTATCATTGCAATCAATCTTATATTGTTTCTGCTGTATTGTGCCTACCAATTTTTGTCAACTACCATTCAAGCTGTCATTGCAATCAATCTTAGCTACCTATGTGCTTTAATATACTGTACCTACAATTTTCTCTCATCTTCTTTTTTTCATTCCATGTAACTGTTATCATTTTTTTGTCTATAAATTTTGCAAGTATTTACCTCCCTAAAATTTTCTTAGATTAAGGACCTGCCCGAAACGCTGCGTGTACTAGTGGTTTTACAAGACTGTAATTACCATATTATGTATCCTCACATTCCCAATGTACATTTTTGTATATGCATAAATAAAATATATAATAAAATAAAATAACATTGTCTATCAGAAGTTGAATTTGGTTTTATGATTTACTTCCAAATAAAATGTAGGTCTTTTTTTTTTTTTTTTTTTTTTGAGATATATACAAGAGCTGTTACATTCTTGTACAGCCACTAGTATGCGTAGCGTTTCAAGCAAATCCCTGGAATCCGACCCCCGCCACGAAGAATCGTTTTTACAACCAAGTACCCATTTTACTGTTGAGTTAAACAGAGGCTACAATTAAGGATTTGCGCCCAGTAAATCCTCCCCGGCCAGGATACGAACCCATGACAAAGCGCTCGCGGAAAGTCAGGCAAGTGTCTTACCACTACACCACGGAGACAGGCGGAGACTTTTTTTATGTTTAGCGTGTTTGTTGGTTGACATCCATGAGTGGACATTTTTAAGTTCGTTATTTACAATATTATTTAACCCTCAAACCGCTAGGGGCCCAAATGGAATTCACACCCACAGGCGCAACAAAAAAAAAAAAATCCAAAAAATTCTTTCGTCTCATAGAAGTGTTTATTTTTGTTCCCTGATCACGGAAAAAATAACAAAAAAATCGTAGGTGGCATATTTTAGCCACAATAGGGTAGGGAAGTGTGCCAAAAAAGGGGCGTTGGCAGAGCCTTCGCCAGACGAGGTCTACTCCGCCCAAGCTGTCAGACGGCAGTTGTCACAAATATATTATTACCTAATTATTTCAATGTCTCCGATCGATTTTTTCTTAGTTTTTTGCAGTAATATTATTCCATACAGTGAATTGTGGTATATTTATATTATAAAATGTGTGAACCATCGCTGTACTCAAAATTATAGTGTGCATATTAGTGATTCAATTATTATGTTCATAAAACAATAAACAAATAGTTTTGCTGTTGTTACACTATATACACAGGTTATATATAAGTATCTGCATGTTTTGTACACCATAACGAACTACTAAGTTGGTCTTGTGAGTCAAAAAGCAACAAAGAGTGACCGCCAAACACCAGCGAGCCACTCACTGCCACTCCCTCCCTCAACACCACCTCACTCACCCTCATTCACCTCCCACAATACTGTTTCTGTATTTATTCACTATACACAGACGTTATATATACGTATTTACATGTTTTGTTCACCATAACTGTACATCTAAGCTTGTATGGTGAGTAAAGGCACAAAGACGTAGCTACTCACACAGTCAGCTGATCGGCGGCCGCCCTCAAGGCCAGACGCACTAATATTTGTCCTCCAACAATATTGTTTGTGGTGTTATTACGCTATATACACACATTATATATAAGTATCTACCTGTTTTATTCACCATACCTGTACAAATAAGCTGGTATGGTGCCCAAAGACCATAGTGGCCATCAGTAAACAACATGCCAAGTCGTGCAGACGATGCTCCTCCCTCATAAAAAATGGCGGCTCCCAACCTACTCCTCTCGCTGTTATCTCACACTATACACACGTTATATATAAGTATCTACATTTGTGTTCATAGCGAACCACTAAGCTGGTATGGTGAGTGCAGTCAATAAATGGTGGCCACACACAGAAAACGACGCCACAACCCTCCCTCCACAGCCTTACTCCTCCCTCCATGGATCACAGCGCTAAATATCACCACAATCCTGCTATTATCAGAATCCTGGTCAGTTTTATCACAGTCAGGGGGCTTCAGTAATACTATCACTGCTAAATAATAGCAGTATCATTTATATTATGGTATTTGTAGGCGATGCTGTGGTCACAAGCTGAACAGCGGTGCTGTGAGCTCGTGCTGCGTGCGCCAGGCTTGGTGGCTTGCTCAATACTGACGCTGTAACACCCAAGAATGTTGGCCTGGATTTTTTTTCTAGGTGGCATCTGGCAACTATCGGTCGTGGCTGTACTATAGCTGCCCCTATCCCAGGCGGGGCATTTAAATTATAGCGCTAGACACAAAATCATATATAAATGATGTGCGCGGTTTCGGTTTTGTCACTGATATCATTTATATATGATATGCGCGGTTTGAGGGTTAATGTGAGTTGGGTGGGGTGTGAATATATGAAGGTAGTATCATCAGCAAATAGTATAGGTTTAACAATTTGGAAAACTGAAGTGTTTTCCTGTTAGATCTCATTATTAATTCAATAATACTTTATTAATCTGTCAAATGAATAGTATTAGTATGATTTCTAAATCAGAATATAGCACCATTAATTTATAAATAACTTAAAAATTTTCTCTAATTCAGGAATCAGGGTGCAGGAGGAAGGCTCAATACCATTAAAGATATCAAATCACCTCATGTTAATGTACAATACATTACACATTGACAGCAAACAAAAAATTCCCTGCATATACTGCCCAAAACTTGATAGTTTCCTTCTGGGCAGCTGTAGCTGGTTTGTCTCACAATTCAGCTAAGTGGCCCTACAATTTATCAGTTTTATCTCAGTTGAGTAAAAGGTTTAAATGGTGGTTGGGTTGTCTAAATCTAACAAATAATTTACCGACATATGTTATCTCGGCTGT